CTCAAATTCGAACGACGGTCCGCGGGCTCGCGGCGCGACGGATATTCCACGAGGAGCGGAGAATCGTCCTCGTGAGGGAGGCCGGCGAAGAGATAGGCCGCGTTGTGATTTGCGCGTCCCCTCCGACCCCTCCGCTGTGTGCGTGTGTGTGTCCCGAGTTTCTCGGGACACCCGGCGACCTCGAATTTTGGCGCGAGTGCACCGCCCGCGGCGACAACTTCGCGCCGATCGCGCACCGATAGTTCGGAACAAAAATTCAGAAAATACATTAAATCCGTAAGTATATAACCTATAGGGTTTTTGCATATTGTGTGCTATAGAAATTTTTTAAAAAAAGCTAACATTTTTCATTAACAGATTATGTCTTCAAATACAATTGAAACACTCCATGCTGCGGTACGTTTCTATTCTGATGAAAGGAGAAAAGTATTAATTGTGCCTATTAGTGACATTGAACATTTTGATCGTGAAAACTGTACCAACCAACCATATAATACATAAACACAGTAATGACGATGAACATAATTCCCCCTTATCACCAGGTGAAGTCTTATGTGTTGGAAGTAAGTATTCGCATTTATTTACTATTGATAGAATATGTTAAGTAATTATACAACTTAAAATTTGAACATTTCAGAAAGATATTTTTGATATACTTTAACAAAGTAAAAAAATTAATAACACTGTATTTGGAATAATTAGTAGTAAACATAAACTTTTTTAAGGTAAAGAAGATTTATTAAATAAAGGACGCTATAAATTTTTGAAAATTCGTCGCAGTGATGCATTGCAACAGTTGCTAATGAAGCAAATAGAAATGGAACACCAAAACAAAAAACCAAGGTAAAAGTGTATAGTGCAAATTTGATGTATTAAAAATATTACATATGTTGTATTCTTACACGTAATATTTTACAGATTACAAAGAAATCGCACAATGGCAAAAAGATTTCCACGAAGTTATAAATATTATTTGCGGTCGTGCAGAGTTGAAGATGTAAGTCCCAGAATCATGAGAAGATTGAATTTTAAACCTAAAGTACGGCCAAATAGAATTGTAAGTATCTTATATTTTAAATAATTTTTATTTCAAATAATTTATGCATGCAATTTATGCAATATTTGGACATACATTGTAAGACAAGTCACTTTTAATCACTTTTTAAAAATATAAACTTACAATAAATATTTGATAATGAAAATTATTAATAATAATGTGATTGGATCTGTAAGTGTGTTTATATATGTATACGCTATTCTTATATTTTTTAGACTTGTAAAGATAGTATTGAGGATGTTCAATACGTTGCTGAAAATATGGATATGGGTAACATTAACAAATCACATGAAGATACTGTTACAATGCAAGAAGCTATTATGGAAAACATTAATGAAATAGTGGATACTTCAATCGACGTTAATAAAGCGCAAAATGTTTGCACGGAAAGAGGTGCTGGAACAATAGAAGCTGAAGCATTCAAAATTTGCGAAAAATTAATAACAGAGGATACAAATAATATACAGCTGGACGCAATTGATTTCGATGACGTGTTAAACGTAGAAAATATAAAGGGGAATGATATAAACGTCGCCAGCGATCCTGAGAACAAGGTAATATTGCAGTTCCAAATAGTCGCCGATAAATACTCATAAAGTGTTTACTATCCTTCAGTTTTGTATTTTATTAAACTGTGATAATTGTTAGATTTATTTATTTTATTTTAATTTAATATATATTACATTTATTTGTGAATGTTGTTTTACATTATAATTTGTGAAATAATTTATTAACTTTTCCATTAAATATTGCAGATGATTTATACAGAAGATCAAGTTTCAGAATGGGATTCGGATTTATTGGTTATATTTAATGATTTAACAGACGACAAAAATGACCATCAACATGATATATGTCGAACACGCACTTTACAAGAGTTTACGTCACATGAAGATTTTCTGAGTGATATTGAAATACCTGTAAACAAATCACGAGGTGAAATATTTTTATTGATTATCGAATACAGTTTAAAATATAAATTATCATTAAATGAAATTATAAGTATGCTGCAACAGATCAATCTTATCTTTTCAAGATTAATATTACCCGATGCACGATGGATAGTCGATAATATTTTAAATCCAAAAGATAAGATAGAAATTCATGGAATTTGTCCCAACTGCTGTAAATATATTGGCAAAATAAATGATGTAGAATCTTGCGTAATTTGTGATGTATGTTCCGAAACCAATAATTTAGAAAATCCATCGTCATCAAATATTTTTGTAATGATTGATCCTACGGAAAATATTAAAATTCTATTGGAAGAAAACGCTGAATATTATGACAACGTCATTAAATTAAGGACATTCAATGGAAAAATAAGAAACATTTTTGATGGAAATATGTACAAGTCATTTATAAAAAAATTACCTGAAAATGATAAACATAATTACGTCACAACCATATTTAATACCGACGGGGCACCGAAATTTGAGAGTTCGAATTACTCGATTTGGCCCATATATTTACAGCTAAATGAAATACCTATTCAAACAAAATTGAATAGGATAATCACCTGTGGTATATGGTTCGGACGAAATAAACCCGAAATGACCGCTTTTTTACATCCATTTACAGAAATGATGACTAAATTAGCAAATCAAGGCATAACATGTAGAATAAACAATGAAGAACGTTTGATTAACGTATACTCTCTAATTTGTTGTGTGGATTCAGTTGCAAGGGCTCCCATGCAAGGAGTTACATTATTCAATGGGAATTACGGTTGCAACTGGTGCTTACACCCAGGCGAGTGATACGAAGGAAGTAATAGGTATCCTATTCTTCAACATACTGTAGAAGAGAGAAATATGAAGAATATGATAAAATTTATGATGAAAATTAATGATAAAGAATGTGCCGATGTATATGGATTAAAGTCTATTTCTCTTCTCATAAACTTACCTTATTTTGATGTTTGTAAAGGATTCGTTCCAGATTATATGCACTGCTGCCTTGCTGGTGTTGGAAAACAGATAACAAATAAATTTTTAGAATCGTTGTCAACATCAAAAATAGAATAACTAAATAAAATTTTACTAAATGTAAAGGTTCCTCACCAACTAGGCCGATTAAGTAGATCATTTGCCGATATCAGTGACTGGAAAGCTAAAGAGTGGGAGAATTTTATTTTATATTACAGTTTGCCTTTATTCCGATACGCTTTACCGCAACGCTTTGTGAAGTACTGGAGTTTATTTGTTGAAAGCTTGTACACGCTTTTGAAATGTGACATAAGCCTTGATGAACTTAATAAAGCAGATGAAGACTTACACACGTTCGTATTTTTAACACAAGAATTATTTTCAAAGAAAGCTATGACGTTCAATATACATCAGCTTATTCACATTTCTGAAAGCGTATTAAATTGGGGGCCACTTTGGTCTCATTCAACTTTTCCATTCGAATCCGCGAATAAGGATATACTGCAAGCTATCCATTGTGCAAAAGGTGTAAATCTACAGATTGTTCGCTATGTCCATATGCAACAAACTTTACACACTTTGCGTCATCGCATATATCCACAAGCATCTCCGTTAGTGATAAATTATTGTGAACAGCTAACAGTGAAAAGAATTAAGAAAAGTTGTAAAGTATCATCCATAACTTACCTGAGAAGTGGAAAATTTATAGATGAAAATATTGCACAAAATTTTGGAATGTCTGCAAAATGTACATTAGCTTATCAGAGAGCTATTATAGATGGTTGTCTTGTGTCATCGAAACAAAACAATAAGCGCTCTGACAACAGCTTTGCAATATTAACTGATAATACCTTTATTCGCATACTTTTTTTTTAGTTGACGATGAAAATAATAAAGAAATCACACTCTGTAATATTGTTAATACTTCAAATAGAATCTGTAACTTTCTAAGTATGGTACGTAATATTGGAAATGAAACCATAGCTATACAAACTAAACAAATTGCACAAATTTGTGTTTTTATTGAAATACTTGAAGAATGTTATATAGCAACGCTGCCTAATATTTATCATTATTAAGTTCTTTTTATATTTTCTTTTCCTTGTAAAAATTAAACCATTTTTAATAGTTTGAGGTCAAATATAGCCATTTTATCGCTGGAAACTAGCAATTTTCTACCTATTTATACTACACTGGCTAGTTTCTACTTTAAAAATGGTTTTGTTTTCTATTAGGTATTATATTGTATTATATTATAAAAAATGTATTATATATTATAAGGATTTAAATATAAATTGTAATTTTTATGTTTTTTCTTCAATAAAAAATTAATTTTTTAAAAAAATTTAAGTATTCTCTAATTTAATATAATTACACTTGGCAATGTTTTTATTAATTGTATAAAATAATTTTTTTTTATATAAAATGATTAATGAGATCACATAAGAGATCTCATATGAGGGTCATATATATATACATATATATATATATATATATATATATATATATATATATATATATGAGGTCTCGTAAAAGATATCATATGAAGCTGAAATGAGATTTTGGCACGAAATGCCATATGAGATCGCATACACGAAGCTGTGCGCGAATTAATCAGAACTCTCATATGAGATCACATGCAGGATCACATATGTGTTGTCATACGTATTCTCACGCGATAATTTTTAGCAGGGAACTAAGTGATTCTTGCTTGCTATATATGTTGCATGTCATTCGATGCAATGACATTATATTACGTATGGTTTGATCATTGACTTGACTATATGAACACGCATACTGTGCATAAGTATAATTCATCTAGCAATCAAGTAAATGTTTTAGTGAAAGCATGGCATTCAGCCTGTTGCAAACTGCCATTAGCTGAAACCTGAAATCCTCATTTTTCCACTTTTTAATGCCTTATATCTCGGAAACTGTCCATTTTTGGGCTTGGTGCCTATTTTTTATCAGCATGTTATGAACTACATTATCCTACATTATTGTTAAATTTGACTGGAAGTCAAAACCCCCCATGACCGTTGCGGGGTCCTTTAGGGGGCGCCATACTAAATCCACCATTTTGAAATTTTAAAATTTTGTACAAAAAATTCGTATTCAGCAACCTAAAAAACCCCCTAATAACAAGTTTCAAAGAAATCCGCTAATTTATAAATTTTCAAAATTTTGGGTCGCCATATTGGATCAGCCATTTTGAATTTTGGGTAATTATGCAGTATAGGGGAAGCACCTCCGATGACCTTGACCTTGACATATGTTGTCAAGGTCACCCTCCTGAGTGACCTTCAGAAGGTTTTAGCCGTCGCTCACTATTCGTTAAAAAGTTATTAACAAAAAAAGTTTGGAAAATATAGCAGTTATTTTGAGTATTAGAAGGCATAAATAACTAATATATACGTGTGTGTGCCCTGCTTTAAAGAAAATCACAACTTCTATAAAGCAGGACATACACACATGTGTGTGTGCCCTGCTTTAAAGAAAATCACAACTTCTATAACTTTATATGCTTTACCAAACACAACATTTAAACCAGTAAATTGTTGATAAATTGAAGTCTTTTTGTTAAAGCAGAGAATACTTTATTTTGCGAAAAAGTCGCTGCTTTACCAAAACACAACATTTAAAGCAGTAAATCGTTGATCACTAATCTACATAGGTTAGTTGACGCGCTTTAAAAGTATTTAAGTGTTTAAAGCTCGTCAACTAACTTATATATGCACTTATATATACTATATTTTCCAAACTTTTTTTGTTAATAACTTTTTAACGAATAGCGAGCGATGGCTAAAACCTTCTGAAGGTCACTCGGGGTCATGACCTTGACAACATATATCAAGGTCATTAAAATCGGTGAGGTCGCCAAACTTATTTTTGTTAATAACTTTTTAATAAAAAACGAGCGACGGCTAAAACCTTCTGAAGGTCACTCAGGAGGGTGACCTTGACAACATATGTCAAGGTCAAGGTCATCGGAGGTGCTTCCCCTATACTGCATAATTACCGAATTTTGTAATTGTGATCCCAAATTCGCATTCCGCGACCCAAAAAACCTCTAAGTAGCAAGTTTCAAAAATCCTGCTAACTGGAGAAAAATAAAACAATGTGCGTATATATGCATCAATGCCATTTTTGGCACGTCTTTTTTCTGCGCATATATGCGTTAATGCCACTCAAGAAGTTAAACATTTGTTTTTTAATGTAATTTTATGCACAATTGTTTTATTATAGATCTTTAAGAAAATAGAAAAATCAGATAATTAAACACATTAGTCTAGCATAATCTATAATTCACACTTAAATCTTACAGTTTCAACAAATAACAAGAACATTAATAACAAATAACAATAACAAATAACAATAACAACAATAACAAAAACAACAATTCAACGTCCAATTATTGTAGGTTCATCAGCCATAGCTATTTCTTCAGTAGGTGCTTTATCCCTCTTCCTCTTCTTTGAGAAAAGTATAAAGGCAAGGCCAGCTATGAAATTGCACAGAAATACGATCCATGCAAGAATGAGAGAGTAATCATATTTTATCACTGCATTTTTTGGAAAGGTTTCCAAAATGTGATTACTCTCGTACTCAATTGATGAAAGCAGAACCTGTATTACCACCATGTTGCAAGCAGCTAGAAGAAAATGAAAGTAAAATTAATTAATATAAAGTGTAGTGCAATTAATATAAAATTCATTAATTTATAATATAGGGCTGTTATTTTTGATAACTTCGAACCTTCGAATATCGAAACTTTGAACCAAATTACTGGCTCTAAGGGCCGGTCTACAATGGATGTTGTAAGTCATAAGTCATAAGAATTGGCCAATCATAGTTTATTATTCTTTGACCGCAAGGAGAATAATGGACTGTGATTGGTCAATTCTTACGACTTACGACTTACAACACCCATTGTAGACCGGTCCTAATTCGGGTACCTGTATGATGCGGGTACCCGTATCAACGTGGGTATAACAGCGCATGCTATAAATATTTGTATATTACACGAAGATGCGTATATGCAGAATAATAAAACATAAATTTTCACACACTTCAAAAATGTCTAAAATATGTGAAAAAATGCTTTTATTAACCCCCCCCGTTTTTTCGGTACCTTCTCAGTACATACGTGGGTCTGTCATGTTTAACGCTATTTTCCCTATCTTAAAGTATTTTAAAAAATCTGAAAAAAATTATAAAAGATCTGTCTACATTGTAGTTGATAATTTTATAGTCTTTTGATAAACGTCGTTTATTTAATATCTTATCTTTAATAAACTTTGAATAAATTTAACAAAATTATTACTTACAAAAGAGGATTACGTCTAGTGCATACGTGGGTCTGAGACGTCCGTGCGAGATTTGACTTGCTCGATATTCGGCGATATATTAATCTTTGATAACAGCTCTGAGTCCCTCTTCTCCCACCTACTTTTTTAAGCACGGAAACCAGACAGGCAGGCTTGCCAGTTTTACAGTTACGAGCAGATATTATTTTGGCCCGGCGTCCGAAAGATCAATATATCGCCGAATACCGAGCAAGTCAAATCTTGCATGAACGTCTCAGACCCACGTAAGCACTAGACGTAATCTTTTTTTGTAAGTAATAATTTTGCTAATATTATTCAAAGTTTATTAAAAATAAAATGTTAAATAAACGATGTTTATTAAAATACTATAAAATCATCAACTACAATGTAGACAGATGTTTTGTAATTTTTTTTACATTTTTAAAAATACTTTAAGATAGGGGAAATAGCGTTGAACATGACAGAACCCACGTATGTACTGAAAAGGTACCGAAAAAACGGAGGGTTAATAAAAGCATTTTTTCACATATTTTAGACATTTTTAAAGTGTGTAAAAATTTATGTTTTATTATTGTGCATATATGCGTCTTCGTGTAATATACAGATATTTACAGCATGCGCTGTTATACCCACGTCGATACGGGTACCCGAATTACCGAGGTACTCGCAGAACTGGTCCAGATCCGTATACAGGAGTAACGGGCGAACGGGCGGGTACCCGAGTACCCGGGTATCCGTTTCTTTTTTCGAGCTCTAGTTATAATACTTCAACATTGTAATTTAGGAATACATAAATATTTTTTAAGAATATATATTAATTATTTTTTTTATTTAAAATATTTTTAGCGTCTTCTAAATGAATTTGCCATTCGCACAAATATATTTTTCGAAACTTCGAAGCTTCGAAGTTCGAAATTAAATTCGAAGCTTTGAATATCAAAACCTTCGAAGCAAATCACCAGCCCTAATATAATATCTTAAAAATAATTTATTATACTGTTGCGCCCGTGCCGCGCGCTTCATGCGGGTCGCCCGGTGGTGGATGTCGCGCCGCGAATCGTCCTTAGGCCGGGTCTACAATCAATCGTCTGTCGGAATAGTATGTCGTGCGCATGCGTACAGTCATGATTTTTACGTGTCGACTGTCCAAGTTGGCCGGGCGTCGTTGTCGGCTCGGAAAAAGATCAAATCTCATCTTTCGAATTGTGTGTCGTTGCAGAAGTAGAGGTTAAAAGCCGAAATTGTGAACATAAATATTCATAATGAATAATACTGAACTGATTGCGGTTTATAGTAGTTTATTATTAGCTTGGGTACACATTGAGAGAATACGAATAATTTTAAAGAAAAAACGTAAGAGCTCTCGAAGATGGTGGGTAAAACCTCATCTTACCGTGGAAATGAGAAACAATTTTGGAGCTCATGAGAAATTATTTGCATATTTCAAAACAAGTGATCATGAAGAGTTATTCAAATTTACAAGAATGTCTGTTGAACAATTTGACATGTTGCATAGTTTATTGAAACCGAAACTTGAAAAGAGGAGTCATAGGACTCCTTTGCCAACAGAACTCCGTCTCGCTCTTACATTGAGGTTATACTATTGAATTTTGTAATTTTATTTTCGGTAGATATCAGAAAGCATTTTATTCAATAATTATTATTTTTAGTTATCTTGCTCATGGAGATAGTGCTGCAACAACAGCATGGCATTTTCGTGTAGGAAAATCAACTGTGTATAGTATCATTCCTGAAGTATGTAAGGCAATATGGGATGTTTTACAACCACTGTATTTGAGAGTCCCAAATGAAGAAAATGAGTGGTTGGAAATAGCAAACGAGTTCAATTCTCTTTGGAATTTTCCAAATTGCATAGGGGCTATTGACGGCAAACACATACGAATTAATGCTCCTCCAATGTCTGGTAGCGCTTTTCATAATTATAAAGGCAGCTTCAGCTTTGCATTAATGGCTATTTGTGATGCTCAATACCGTTTTACATGGTTGGATATTGGCGATTATGGTAAATTATTAAACTAGTTGAAATTAGTTAAAATTATATAGATTAGATAGTATACTTTATTTACTCCGAAGGGGCCTTAAAGGGCGTTTTTTTACTTTAGGGACGTACCCAACCCTTTACATCAAAATGTTCTCAATTCTTCTTATGGTCCTCGTCCTCGTCCGTGTCCATTAATAGTTTCTCCTCCATTTTCTTCGCAATCTCTTCGTCCGTAGTCCTTTTTAGTTTCCCGCCTTCCTCCTCTCTCCTTTCTTTTCTCCTTTCTTTCTTCTCTCATTCTCTTATCCTCATCTCTACTGTCTTGTCTTCTGTTCCATTTTAACTTTAAACCTGCTCCCGTCCTTTCTTCTCGCCTCTAAAACCCTCCATTTATCCTCTTCGCATACTTGTCCATTAGGTTCACTGAACGATGCCGGTATCTGGTCTAAGACTGAAATGAATACCGCATTGGAAAGTAATACTGTGTCTTTACCACCAGAACTTTATTTGCCACATACTAACATTGCTGTACCCTTTGCTCTTGTTGGCGATGAAGGATTTCCTTTAAAAAAGTATTTGATGCGACCGTATGCAAGAAGAAATTTAGTTGATAATCAACAGCGTGTATTTAATTATCGATTATCAAGAGCCCGACGAGTAATTGAAAATGCCTTTGGAATTCTTGTCGCAAGATGGCGAATTTTCCAAAGAGCACTTTGTTTAAAACTGGAAACTGCTGAAAAAATTGTACAAGCCACATGTTGTCTTCATAATTTTATTATGAGCACAAATTATTCAAATAAACGCTATATACCAGAAGATTTTATAGATCGGGAAGGTCCCAATGGCGAACTTATCGAAGGCGGTTGGCGAAGTTTGATACAACACCCTGTACTTAATCGAATGGGACGAGTTGGTGCAAATGTTGGTTCGATTGCAGCAATGAAGCAACGCGACACTTTAGCCCAATATTTTGTTTCCGATGAAGGTAGCATTCCATGGCAGTGGGAAATGATTTAAATAAATTATCTGGCTTACAACTTTTATTATTCAAACACAATTATGTTTATTACAACATACAAGTACATGTTTATTACTCGGAAGGAGTGGTTAAAAGGCTCCTTGAACGTAGTACATTCCTTGCTATCTTAAGAAATAAACGTATTTTCGAAGTGTGCTGAAGTGATCTGTAGTGTTATTTTAAGCAAATATCTTTTTATTTGGAAATATTACGCAAGAATTCTCAACGCGTCAATTTTCAACATTTCTCGCTTATTCTCCATTGGAGAGAGTTCTTATTTCTACCGCGACGGTACGTCGCCACCGTCACCGCGGAGTTCTTATTCCTAAATTCTTAAAACCTTGGTTGCTAAAGCTTGATCCAAGTTCTCGTTCCGAGAAACGTGTAGCCAATAAAATTGCCGCTTTTCCGTAAAAACTGCAAATTGATTGCTACAAATTTCTCGGTCCGAGAACTTGGACCAAGTTTTAGCATCGTAGGCACAAGCATCAACAATCTAAATCTTTAGTTTTGTACTTTTGGTAAAAAAACTTACTCTCTAAGGGTGCCATGACATGTAGCGCGGAAACGCGGAAACGCGGAAAGAAAGTAACTAGATTCCGCGTTTCCGCGCTCCATGTAATGGCACCCTAAGTTCTTAATAATCTTACTCTCTCATTTCATGTTTTACAATAACCTGAAGAATCTCAATAATGCATTGGGTTCTACTTTTTACGGGGACATGTTTCAATCCTTCTTCTATTGCGAGCATGTACCCATCCTTTTCTTTATCTTTATTTGTTGCAATCAGTGTTGATACGGTATTCATCGCATCAGATATTTTAGTACCTGCCTCTACAAGGTGTTCGTCTAAGAGGGCATTTTTCATATTTTTTCGATTTGCGAAATCGTCCATTGGCGGCACAATTGTTCTCGTTGGCTTCATCTTTGAAATTAATGCTCTTGAAGTTGTGCTCTTGAAGTTGAAATTGTGAAGTTGTGAGCTGGAGCTACTGCAACTTGATTGTCTTGTTACAGACTCAGGAAGAGATTGAGCATCATTGTCTAGAATTTTTAAAATTTATTTATTTTAAATTTATTTATTAATTTATTAATTAATTAATTTATTTATTTATTTATTTATTATTTATTAATTTATTTATAAATTATTTATTTATTTATTTATAAATTTATTTATTTATTTATTTTTATTTATTTATTTATTTATTTTTATTTATTTTTACCCATCATTTGTGATTCATCGCAAGTATGATCAATTTCTGAAGAATTCCATATCTCCTGCAATATCTCTTCTTCCACAGTAGCTTCCTGCTCTTTCGATGGCTCAACTGGCTGAGAACAAGCCTGCTGGAAGCGCACTGGTTGGAATCTCGAATCTTCTGACGGTTTTCTTATGAGCAATTCTTGTGTCCTAAGAATAAAATAAAATAGTTTATAATACAACTATGATACAAAATTGAGGAGAACATACTTTCTATGATACTCTATTTGTGTGAAAAATTTCAACCCGGTATCTAAAAAATTGTAGAAGTAGATACGTGTACAAAAAATCCGTACATACAAAATCTCGAAAAATTTTTTTTTCACCATCACAAAGCTTCTTCTATGAGAAAGCAAAAAATAATTCATTGATCAATTACTTACTTTCTGTGAGCAATATGCGATGACAAGAAGAGTAGTGGTCGGTACAGGTGCCACTCCTTACTTTCGCTTCTACCTGATCCTGATGGTGCCAGTTTTCTTCTTCTTTCTTCGCGACCAAACATATCTCGAAGTGCTGACCACCGTTTCTCAATATTTTCGGCTTATATAAAAAAACACGTAAATTAGTATTGTTTTAAGATTAATATATTTGACAGAACAAGTTGATTTATATTTTAATAACATATATTTCCTACCTGACATATTCACATTATAAACTTCTTTTAATTGAAATGCAATCGTTTTCCATACATTCTTTTTTTTATTACCATTTTTATAATTAACGTCCATTTTGTCATAAACAAATTTGTGATCTCGCACAATATTAATAATGACCTCATCTATCGTAATTTCTTCCGTCATCTTGTATGTATATCGTTGTCGTAAAGTTGCCGTAAAAACATGGGACTTGACCAATTTCCGAATCGACAACAACTCCCGGTTGTCACGGTAGCCGACACGTAAAAATCAAGGTTGTGCGCATGCGCCAACAGACGACTTTGACAGACGACTAATTGTAGACGGGGTTTTCGAGCGGTTACGACATACGACTAGCGGCGTCCGACAAGTGTCTTCCGACTTGTATGTAGACCCGGCCTTAGTGACGCTTGTTTATGTGAATATTGATTTTCTCTGATGTTCAATTTATTATTGATTTTCCTACCAGATGTTCAGTTATACGAGATGTTCTGTTTATACCCGATGTTCATATTTGCTCTGGGTCTCGTCTCGTTCGGACGTGTCAGCCCGAGCTCTTCTTTAATAACGGGAGATTAATAAAAGAGTTTCCTTTTCTAATAACGTGTCCTCTTTTCTTGTGAGAGTCCTGAGAAACGCGCCGCGAGTGAGTGAGTGAGTGTAAACGTGCGGCTGACGCTTGACGAGCGTAACAATACTATGTTGATATATTATACTATGCATTAATTTAATATTTAAAATAGTAATAAAAACCAAATAAATTTAAACAACATGTAATATAATTTCTATGTAATATGACTTCTAATTCCTTACAAGTATTTATTAACTTTAGAAGTTAAAGGATGGGTACAGAGCCGATTTAGGTCCTGACCATTGGGGAATCTATTTTATGTTTTTTCATACCCTTGATGTACTGAATCATTATCAAACGTTAATTTCAAGCTAAACTAATGGGAGAATAGCAAAAATCGCATTCAAAGTATCACAGTTTTGTTGGAATCTGAACAAAAACTCAAGAATATACAGGGTGTTTTATGACATGTGAGACCTACTTTATAAACAGTGAATAGGGGACACAAAAACAATGAAAAAAGTTCATGTATACATATGTTTTATTTGGCCTTGTTTCCGAATTATAGCTTTGTGGTTCAGTAATTTTCAGCTGTTTACCTTTTATGCTTAGGAAGTGCTTGAAAAAACCTCCTTACTTTGTATGTAAGTTTACAGTCATCGTATCAAATTTTTCAATTTTTTTAAAATTTCAGGTATTTGTCGGATTTATTGGCAGCCTTGTTGCATATGTTTACGAAGTATTTCAACACTGGCTATGGGTGTTGAAAACAATTATTTTCAAGTAGCCTCACAAATAAAAGTCTAATGGATCTAAGTCTGGGGAACGAGCAGCCATTCCTTGATCTGAATACTTATTTGTTCTTCCTCACTTAACTATTCTAACGTACAGCAAATTAGTGAATTATTAAGTGCTTCTAGCTATGCACTTGTATTTGGCTGAATTCCATCCTTTACTATCCCTTTACACTTATGTATCATAAAATAACCATTAAATCTTTGGCATTTCCTACAGTAATCATTTTACGTAGGTCGTAATATATGATCGCGCTACTTACTACGGTTTCGTTAATATTAACAGTAAAGAACTGAAGTTATAACACAATACTAATATGGCATAAAGGCACATAACAGTGTGATTGCGAGCAAGTATCTTTATTTCTTCTATTTTTTCTGACTTCTGTGGCGTAAATACCGGAGTTACCCTATTTATTTATAAGAATTATAATATATATTATAGGTATTACAGTTTTTTCACGACTTATTACAGATAATTTCACTATTTATGAAAATATTTAATAAAAATTAATGTTAATTTAAAAAAAAAGTATTTTACCCAAAATTAAAAAAAAAAAAGAAAACTTAAAATAGCACAAGCAATAAAAAGTGTCGTTTTTTATCAAAGCGAATCTTGGTGCTTAATAATATTTCACAATATCAATTATTGTTAAATACATTTTTCAATTTTTTAAACTGCGTGCCAATATGGACTTTGTCGGACTTAAAACGCAATTGTGTAAACTGAAACTGAAAATAATATCTCATATTAATTTGATTGTCAAGTAAAATAATATACTAGAAGAATATTTATAACAGTTACATCTGAGGGTCCAGGGTTCGAGTCCCTGTTCGGGCGTCATATAATGATCTGCCGTTTTGAGAAATCGAACGCGGACTAGCTCGCCGGATCAGGAGTTCGATAGGTAGGCCTAGAAACAATAGTCAGTATTTGATTCACACACGCAGTTTATTCAATATTCGTAATAATAAAATTAATACTCGCAATGATACAATGCCGGTTTAATCCAGCGGTTCAAACAGACACATACGTGTAATCGGAACGCGACGTTATAACGGGTTATGCGGCGCGGTATTACAGTGATCTTTTACACGGCACGCGGTATTTACAGTAGTTTACGAGTTTACGGAGCGCGAGATTACGGGAACGCGGGCGCATACGTATAAACAGGACGCGATATTTTAGGACGGTTTATGCGGATGCGTACGGCGCGGTCTTGCAGTGCTCTTTTAAACAGAGTTGTTAAAAAACATCTTTATAAAAAGAAAAAACAAAACATGTTTTTTTCAAAAACGTGTTTTTTTAGTTTTAAACATGTTTTAAACAAGTACGAAAAAACATGTTTAAAACACATTTAAAATATGTTTTAAACATGTTTTTAAACATATGCATTTTTATTGC